ATATATATATATGTATATTTGGAAGGTATCGCAAAATATTCTCAGCTTTAACAATTATAACAATTATATATATATATATATATATATAAATTACCCACATGAATTGTTTTGTATGTTTTAGAAAACAGTATTTATTTTGTTTGTATAATTGTCAAACTATTGTTTTAAACAATATGATTTTCTCAAGGAATGAGTTTTTTAAATTTATTTATTTATTCATTTTATGTTTTTGAATCGCACTTTTTTTTGTCTATCGTATCAATCAACATTAATTTCATTTTACCATGTTGTTAAAATGTCAATAAAGGAGTCTCGTATCGTATCGTATCGAGAAGCCGTTTAGCAATATATTTATAGAATTTTATTTCCTTCAGCTTCAGGGAGCCATTATCGTTTAGTAGGAACTGAAGTTAGAATTGGTAACGTATATACTAATACGGAAACTGCACAGAAATGCGGAAATTCTGTTTCTAACAAACAAGTAGAAACAAGTGCCATCGTTGATCTGACTTGTGATGAGCCGATTTCAGGGCGATATTTAATGCTATGGCATCCCGATCAAAACGAATTCTTAAACGTGTGTGAAATCCGCGTTTACAGTGAATATGAACCGGAGATAAGTAAGTACAACGGCATTCGAACTCTTGTAGAATGAACTCCGTGTATAAACCATTCATTTCCATTAACTGATATAATGCATAGAACATTAATGTGGTCGTTGTGGCCGTTAGTTGTCCCACTACTCCCAATTTACAATGTCAATCTAATAATTGTACAGGTGAGTGTAGTCACAGTCAATCATATAGCGACTACCGAGGTCTAGTGTCAATCACAGAGAACGGTCATGTGTGTCAAAAATGGTCATCACAATCACCTCATACTCATAACTATGGGCCTTCCAATGCTGACGATAACGGTATAGGGGATCACAATCTGTGCCGAAACCCAGACAATGAGGACCGACCATGGTGTTATACCACTGACCCAGACACTCGCTGGGACTATTGTGATGTGGCAGATGTAGGAGCATCATGTCCAATAGGTAAGTCAAGAATTTTGTTTTCCGTTACACATCTCCGACCAAGGTGTTACCTCACTGATCTAGACATTCTATTCGGATTACTGCGATATTGTCATAGGAATGTTATTGCTTACATAGTATTACAAAAACATGACCCTGAAAGTCAGAATTGTGTTTTACCCTCTTTTATATGTTCTCTATTGTTAAAAATGTTTAGGCCTATGTAACGTCAACCTAAAATGTATTGATTTATATTATTATTATTATTATTATTATTATTATTATTATTATTATTATTATTGTTATAAATCCATTATAATGATGATTCAGTGACATTTCACTATTGTAACGATTGCAAACAGGGGTGGCGCCAGGATTTGCCCGACGGGGGGGCGGCAAGGTCCCTGACGAGGGGTCAATACCCCGACGAGGGGTCAGATTTCCCCGACGAAAGCAAAGTGGGCGTGGTCGAGCTTCGATTTAAAGGTTTCAAAAGTGGTCCTGCAGGCGAAGCCCCCGAAAATTTTGACAATTTAAGAGTTTCAAAGGCTTATTTAATCGATTCTATAGTCTACTAATATGTAGAAAATACATATAATTTTTTTTTCCCCCGACGAATTGTTTTTTCTCTCCGCTGGCGCCACCCCTGAATGGCAACACACAATGAAGTGGTGTAATCAATGGTGTACGGTAAAAATGGCCCGGAAAAATATCCGCTGAAAAAGCGGTCCTGGAAAATATGCCCCTTGAAAAAATGGCCCAGGTAAAATGGTCCCAAATACGAGGTAGGTAAAAACGATAAAAATTAGTTATAAAAAAAATTGAATGCTGAAAAAATGGCGAAAATAAAATTAATATATTAACATAAGTCATGCCTTTTTTAAACTAAAATAATTTAGTTTTTAAAAAGAAATTAATGCCATTTTTGCTTACATTTTGTCAACCGCAATCTAAAGAAAGATTTAAGCAGATTATAAAACTTAAATCTATATCAAACCAATTTCGAATGTGAACGTTTATCCCATGCTAATTTTATATACTTCTTGCAGTACTTATCGAATGCGAATAAAGCATCATCACATAGTACCGCAGTTGTGTCGTCACAACACCAGGTGGCGCCCTCTGGACGTTGGTTACCGTTTAGTACGCCTGAATGACATCATAATCTTAATGGTTTAGAATAGGCTTTCTGGAATAGGCATTTTAAAACCTAAACCATAAAAATGTACTAAAACACAAAAACTCGAATTACATTTAATCATCAATTAACATTTACAAAGAAAAATTAAGGTAGAACTTCTTAATAACGTTAGAAATTGGGATCAATGGCCTCGGTTGAACTCATTTTGATAGCAACGGAGTAGTATCACGTGGTAGCGTGACGTAACATTGTAGATAAGTGGTGATAAGTGGTTTCTTCTCAACCCACCCACACCCTCATTAATTTTCGATCCAGTAAAATATATAGTATCTTGCAGACTCATCACGAAGCTCTTGAAAGATCTTTTTTTTTAATTGATAATACCGACTCCCTATAATAACGTCAAACGATTTGCAAAAAAATAAAATATGTCATAAAGAAAACTTGTTTAAACATTATCTTATACAGATACGATAGTAGACGACCTGAACGCTGTTGCGATTTTTGAACTTAACTGTGACTGTTTGACATCTTGGTATGCCTCTGAGATTCTACTAACTAGGGAAGTAGACGCAACCTGCACATCTGATACTGACAACCTACAGCCCGTTAACACACTCATCTCAGTAGAAAGTAACAGGTTTCAAGACACGAATGCTTTAACTCTGGCAATGTACGTTTACCCAAACGGATCGTCTTCTGGTGAAATTCTTTCCGCAGGTAGTGGTAACACACGTCTCAGAATTGAACAAACCTATTCCAACGGCTACTTGTTTCGTTCAGAAGTCACAGTCTTCTACGGTGATCAACAGCTAACACGAGCTCATGTACTTCTGCCGGAGGTTTGGACATTCTTGGCAATTACATTCGACGGTACAAATAAGAACATAAAACTTTGGAGGGATGGAGAGATCGCCAGTATAGGATATATTGATTTCACCAACCTTGACCTTTTTCTAAATGAATTCACCGTCAGAGTTGCCAGTGACAGTTTTTATGCTAAATTTGCCATGTTGCAGATATACGATCGTGTATTGAATGAAGCAGAAATGAAAGCAGCGCGAGATACAGCATTTGAAAGTAAGACTAGATTTTTTTTTAGCTCTAATGAGGAGCTCTAGTATACCCGGCTTAATTGATTAATAGCTCTTTTTTGTGCTGATTGCTTAATAGATATTTTTAATAGATCTTTTTGTATGTGGGTGGCCGTAGGGCCAATAATTATTATCATAAATAGCTCGAATTAATTATGATAATAATATTATTAGCTCAGATGAGAAGCTCTTGTTGTTATTACACATAAACAGGAGATAATTTCCAACAAACTTTCATGGCCCTTTTTTTAAGTTGGACCCCGGGGTGCCCCATACACCTACAAAACAAAACTGGAGTTTCAGCAAGGACTTTAAAATACTGCTATATTACCACAAATAGGACACGTCGCATGGATGGCGCCGTCATTTAACGATCTAGAACTGATATTCCCTAATCACAACACAAACTTATTTCCAACACAACTTTAGATATACGGGCCCCTCTATTTGGAACAATTTACCAATCCCAATTACCAATGCTGTTTCTGTCAGAGCTGTTTCTAATAAACTGAAAAAAACACATAATCTCATATTACTAAATTTTTCTGTGGTTGAAATTCGTCATGCTGCTTTTTCTCCCTTATTTTTTTTTCAGTCCTGCCTAACACAAGGTGTTTTTATTTTGCAAACATCTTCTCGGGTCCTGGCCTTCTTCCAATTTTTGTATTACTTTGTATTTGCAATTTTGTATTTCCTTTTGCCTTTGGAAGAAAATAAATGTTTTTTTGAATTGAATTAAATTGAAGAACCAAACATCGTGAGTTCGAATTGCCTCTTGGTATTTATTTTTTGTTTCTTTTTTTTTTAATTTTAAGACATTTAAATTTTGATCTTGTAAAAATGAACATTGTAATTAGCCTATAGTAGAGTGGCTAAGGTTGAATTTCAAGCAGAATCGTGCACTTCTGGAAGAAAGCATGAAACTTCCCACAGCGATACTATGACACCTAAAGATCATTAAACAAATAGACCCCAAAAAATAACGCCTTCTAATGGCCGCCATCTTGAAATCCAATATGGCCGCCAAAATATTTGATTTCATCCAATATATTCATATCTACAGCACATGTCATTGTCAATTGAAGATCATTACCCATGTTTTCAATATCAGGGAGTGTCATGCAATCATTATAAATTATGTCAGATGGCGCCGCCATATTGGATTTCAAGATGGCCGCCAAATTAATGATATTTTTGTCAGTATCATATCTACAGCACCTAGCACTGTTAATCAAAGACCGTTACCCATGTTTTCGATATCAAGGACTATCATGCAGCCCTCAGAAATTATGTCAGAATGCCACCATTGAATTTCAAGAATGCTGCCATACTAGATTTCAAGATGGCTGCCAAATTTATTATTGATAATGTTGTAAATATCGTCATATCTGCAACACCTAACACTGTCAAAGATCTCTACTCGTGTTTTTGATATCCGGGAGTATCATGCAGATATCAGAAATTATGTCAGAAGGCGCCATATTGAATTTCAAGATGGCTGCCATATTGGATATCAAGATGGCAGCCAAAATATTTTTTTACATATTTACATAATTATGTAAAGTACCGTACCAGCACTGTGAAGCAAGATTGTTTATATGTATAATTTGGGATATCATCAAACATCTCATAATCATAGTGAGACCAGCCTATGGCAGTAAAGTAACACCATTTAGAAAGAAGACCGACAACTGCCACGTTGAATTTCAGAAAGATTGCCAATAAAGAAAGGTACATGAAAGAAATGGAAATTAAAAAAATTAATAGAAAACAGTTAAGGAATAACAAATTGGTAATCGATCAAAAGTAATGAAAAAATGCAGATATTTAATATGCAGATATTTAACATCGTTTATATTAAAGCTAGTTTTAGCATAAATGAAATTATGTAAACATAAATCAAATATTCAAATTAATGGTGTGAAGACACTAATGTCGACCTCAAGTCTATGAGATGGCTAATTTTCATTTTCAAATTATATTTAAACATATGTAAATATTGAAAGGGAATGAAACGGAAAAGACAATCAAAGAAAGGAAAAGAAAAAACAGAAAGGAAAAGAAAAAAACTGGAAAGGGAAAAGAAATAAAAATAAATAGAAAATGAATATAATGGAGAAAGTGAAATGAAATAAAAGAAACTTCAAGATAAATTAAGTAAAGTATATAGATAACTTTAGCATAAATGAAATTATGTAGACATAAATTAAATATCACATTAAAGTAATGGTATGAAGGCATTA